TTATTTTATTTTTTGACCATTTTTCAAAACTAGGATATAAAATATGCTGTGTGTGCTTGATATAATTCTTCAGTTGTCTAACACAATTGCAGTGCATGGTTCGATTTAAGGATGAATCCCGCTACCATCAGGACGTATCTTGTCGGGGGTGTAGCTCAAATGGTAGAGCGCTCGCTTAGCATGCGAGAGGTACCGGGATCGATACCCGGCATCTCCAAGCTTAATTTTTTTTCTTAATGCTGCACACTTGCTGCTACTCTGGAGGAGAAAATACCGCTCGCCCTTTTTCTAAACAATTTAATTTACTATCTCCTGTTTAAGAAATAAGAAAGAGAAGAAGCAAATAAGTAAGAAAATGTACCGATGAGTGAGGAAAGGTGGCAAGGAATATGATGGCCAGGCTGGTAGATTTGTTACCTGCCCACAGCTGAGCCCTAACCCTAACCCAAACCCCCAGATTTGCAAGATGCGGCCTATACGGTAGTCAGGCCACAACGGTTCTATGGTGTAATGGTTAGCACTCTGGACTTTGAATCCAGCGATCCGAGTTCGAGTCTCGGTAGAACCTTACTGTTTTTATTTTTAAAGGTTTGGACAGTCTGATTCGTCGTGTTTCTTGCCTACAGGTTCATTAATTCAGCAGCATTTCGTCTACTTGGGGTGGAATTTTCCCAGCTCCAGTGTCTCTTGGCTGTCTCCGTAGCGCAGCGGATAGCGCGCTGGACTTCTACTATAGTTGGTTAGTATCTCGTAGTGTTAACACGTTAATTAGTGTGCTCCGAGAATTACCCAAGCGTATCGAACCTTGTTCACTGTACTATTGGATTTTACTTGTTTTTGTAAATATTGACTTTGTTATTGTTATTTGTTGACTGTATATATCGTGTATTTAGGGGCTTTTGCCCCTATTTTGTGCAATATTCGCCACCCCGCATAGGATTAGCGGAGGTGTGATTTTTGGATACGATGGAGAACAGACGATATAAGAAAGAGAGTACGGTGAGAGTAAAGGTAACTGATTTGAAACTTATTACGTTGGATGAATTTATTGAAGCAGTAGAAGGGAAACTCGGGGAGGGGTCATGTTTTGCGTGTGTACCCAGGTACCCCTCGACTATAGAAATAACGGTCGATAGTGTGGAAAATGCAAATCTGTTGTGCGAAGGACTCACTGTGAACGATTTAGGATATGAACCCGAACTTTGTTTTTCACCTTATATAGTAGTCTCCTTTTTTAATTTACCCCCCTACCTTGAAGATGATATTATTGTAAGGAAATTGGAAAGATTCGGAGTGGAAATTGTAGGCCCAGTAGTAAGACACTTTCATAAGAAGTTTCCCAATGTAGCTGACGGCACTCGGCACGTGAAATGTAAATTTCCACCCACATTGAGATCCCTTCCGTGGGCAATGAACTTTGAGACTCTAGAGGGGCCACAATCCTTTAAAATCCTACATAACAACCAGACTAAAGTTTGTTACAAATGTTTAAGCCCGGACCACGAGAAGAAGGAATGCCCCCAGATCAAATGTGCAAAGTGCAGACTTTTCGGACATATGGCCTTCAAATGCCCCACCCCTACTTGTGAAAAATGTGAAAAGGCAGAAAATTTGTGTAAATGTGAACAGTTTTTTGACACTAACGAAGGGGAACATGACGAAGAAATAGTGAATAATAATAAACGAGACCTAAGCACTGATAAGAGTGAGAACAATCAAGAGGGGAAAAAACAAAAGAAGGACAATGACGACGAAGGGAACATTAATCTAGAACAACCGAGCCATAACGAAGTTTTGCCATCCGCAGAGTCTACACGCCATGATGCCCCCGATACTAATCCCCCCGAAATTAACCCCCCATCATTTAACATTAATAAAGACGAATACTCTATCATAGATGACTTTTTAGAAGAAACGAATAGCGGCATGGAATTTATAG